TTCAGCCTTATCAAAGTCATTGCCAAGAGCTATTGTAAAATCAAGCTGCATCACCTTGGAAAGGAATATACTCAAAAACTGACAGGCACCCGTATTCGAAAAAAGCTGAGCAAGATTGTCCTTTTTAGTCATCAATGAACTTGTGTCATCCATTTATGTTTGAACAGCCAAGATTTTCTTGTAGATAGGTTACTTTTCCTTGTATAGAAATATAAATCTCTTCTCTTTGATAACACCCTGTGTGCAACTTTGTTTTCCAAAAATATTTAACAACATAGATACAGCTCTCTAAAATTAAAAGAAAGATATGATTGTCTGCATGTTCATTTGTAATTTTTAATAGCAAATAATGTTGGGAATTAAATAATGGTCCCTAAATGAAGAGTTTAGCTAGGTATGAAAATCAACAGAAGTGTAAAACTCAATCGACTCAATCGTATAAGGTCTGCTGTCTCAGATTCAATCCTTATTCTGCTTTATATTTTGCATCAACATTTCCAGTCTGTAAACTGCAACCCAGAACCTGATTTTTAAAAAAACTGGTAAATCATATCGACACTTACCTTACCGATTCAAATCCAACAACAGCAAACAAACCCAAACTTTGCGTACGGTGTAGGCCTATATCGCGTTGACATTTTCTGTTCTAAAGAATAAGATACTTCATAACAATAGTTTATCATAGTAATTTCATTCACTAGAACTCTTCACCGCTTTTGAATATTCTACACAGCTCCCTTCCAACATGCTATCTCAAGAGGCTGTAACACTCTTCTCAGGCTGCAATGGGACGGAGTTAATATGGCCGCCAATTATTTGAGAGTCTTCAGGTCTCTAACAATAGAAGCTCGATCCAGTCTTTTTTATAGATCAGTGATTGTGCTAAGCCAAAAGAAAATGGATTGAAGCACTTTAGGTATCATTAAGTTTTTGCAGGACAGGAAAATCATAACCTTTCTGGATACTGAAATGTTATTGTACTAAAATGGTGTATTCTGTTTCACCATTAACGAGTGTAATTCATGCACAACTAGTGACATTTTTCAATAATTAATATATGTTATTTATTTACATATAATGCTATGTTATTAAGTGAATCATTCCAGATTTTATTCTATGATACATTAGTTGCTAGTGCTAGAACCATATACTTAATAACATATTGATTTTAATGACATTTAATCAACAGGAAAGAAACGAAAAATACAAAGCAGCAAAGGATTGCCAGATAGAAAAAAAGTAAGAGATGTATTGTATTGTATTGTATTGTATTGTATTGTATTGCATTGTATTGTATTGTATTGTATTGTAATGCATGACGCATTTTAAACATTGAAGGTAGCTCAGTGAAGAGATGTATTAACCCTTTGGCTGCCAAGGGGTCCTAAAATCGACCCCTTTATGTAAATTGCGTTTTTTCTGGCCTCGAGGCTGAGAATTTCAAAATCAAGGCTTGATGTAGGGTCATTCCATCTCAGAATGAAACAAAAATTGTAATTTTTTAACCCACCACCTCAGGTTTGGATGATTTTTGGTAGACATGTTGAAAACCATGACATGAACATAAACTGAAAATTTCATCTTCATATCTTTTACTATTAAAAAGTTAGACGGGTTTGAAATTTTAATAATTTTGGCACATTTTTCAATGATCCGCCATTTTGAATTTTTGCTATTATTTACTTAAATTAGAACCGATGAAGAAATGACACATTTGAAATGAAAATAAACCAGACAAGCTAATCAACTATGTAGATGTCAAAAACATGATCAAAAATTTCCAGTCACAAACAAAAGTCATTCTAAATATAGAAAAAGAAGGGGAAGTTGTTGCCATGGCAACGGCCGGTGAGGATAATGGTGTGAATTTCATCATGTTGCTTAAGTTGGAATGATTTGAGTTTTTAAATTTGATTAGAGTACTAAAGGAACAAGCAAGATAGAAAAAACTGTTAGGGTGTTTTCTTCCTTTATTGAAATATGGCATGTTAAAAATTGCCCAAAATTAGCATTTTCATGCAACAATCGAAGTAAGATATTCTCTCTCTTTTAAGCAAAGAGTGTTCCGTAAATCTAAAGAAAACAGTGTTGTGCATCTTTTAAAGCTCTGACTTCAACATCTTACAAATATATGATTCAAAAAGGTCATATTCACTGAGTGTCAATTGATATCAATGCAACAAACTTTCAATTATTTGACAAATTATGTACATCAAAATCTACAAAATGCTCAATTATATACATATTGTCTACAGTTCTATTTCAAGAGCATCTTTTGGTTCAAAGGTGTATTGCCTTCCAGTCATCGTTGATGGTTTTGGTGGTTGTACCTTTTTCAGAATGTTTGATGTTGGCACCCAACATACATCATCACGCCTTGGCCACATAAATGATACACATGGCAAATGTGGATGCAAAAATTTTATGGCAACATCTTTATTCTCACTACTGACTTCAATAGTCACTCCAACTCAGCAATGTGTATCATACCTGCACACAAGGTAATCTCCGATTTCAATATCGTCATGAGGTTCAATGACAGCTAGATTGAAATCAAACTTGACATCAAATTCAGGGGTTTCTGATATTGTTTTTGCTCCAATCAATGCTTTGGATTGCGGTACAAATTGATGGAACCCCCTAGTTCCTGGAATCGTTTTTGCAGCTGTCAGGCGTTTCTCAAGATCTTTTCTTGTCAAGTTGTTTTCCTCCTTTGTAATGTAATAGAAGTTGATTCCTTTGACTTCTGTTTTACAAAATTGAAATAATGCCTCAACAGAAATAATTTGGTTTTTCATTGGTCGTTGCAGGCTGACTTGAGCAGCTAAACGCTTAACTGTACCTCCAATCCCATCACATGGGGATTTACCATGGCTGGTGGCGAAGAAATTCCACTCACAACTAATTGTAAAGTCTTCCTTATGGTGGCACAAGTTTAAAAAATTCTTGCAGTTCTTATACTGGCCTGCACAACCATCAGAAAAGTAATGGACAACCTTTATGTCCATTGATATCATTTCCCTGATATGATGTGCAGTGCCTTTCAACACATTATACACGAAATGCACATCATGTTCCAGGTCATCGGATAAAAAGCATAATGATGTTGATCCAATGACTCCATCATTTCCTTTGTAGTAAATGACTACCGGATGTAATGAGCATTGCTTCTGGTTCCAGTGATAGCCCTGGACCTCATCTTGGATCACAAATTTAAAGTTTTCTGCAAAGTCCAGTAAAACAATGACTTCGTCCTTATTCAAAGTTTCTTTTAACCTCTTCAAATAAGAAGCTTGTGACTTTGCAATAAACGAATGGCTGGTTATTTGATCTAGCTGGCAACACAACTTATCAATAAAATCAGGAACTGGGAGAGTTTGGGAAACCAGTTCAGCTCTGTCCACAGTTGTCCACTGCTGGAAAGTGACTATATCTTCAGTAAAATCATTAACATCTTCAACCTCCTCGCCTTCTTCAAATGTTGTTGATTCTGTGAAGATATTGCGTAAGCAATCTTCAACATTTTCAATTCCAGGACATCGTGCACATCTGTGAATCATGCATCCTCTGGAAGTACTGTCACAGACTACCATATCAATCAGGTCATGGTACTGGTGTCCTAAATTTGCAGCATCAAGAAGAAGCTTCAGATTCTGATGAGAAGTGCAGACACACACAGAATGTGTCCCCTTGGGACCAACTGGGATGCACCATTTTGGCCTCAAGCTTGCAAACTTGGAAAACCCAATACAGAAAGCAGGATTATCAGCCTTGAACAAGGAATATAGCTCTTTTATGTTGCATAAAAGAAGTCGCTTTTGCATATGTCTTTTTTGTCCAAGGCTCACAAAATCTTTCCTTCCTGGAAGTTGTCGGCTGTTTTCATCGCTGCAATAAAAAGATTGAACAGCATTTAACAACACCTCTTTAATTTTCTTGCCAGTCACTTTGTCTGGCATACCAAGAATCCCTTTCTCTTCTCTTATTTCTCTTGCCTTCCTGACCATGCAAACAGGTACTTGAAATATGTTTGAAGCCTTCCGTACTGACCAAGAATTAGGAATCAGTGTTAGAATTTGGATTTTCTCCTGTCGACATGAAACCTCCAATTTTTCTTTCATGAGACTGACCAAAAAGTCTAAGTCGCTGGCTTTCTGGATAAATTCCTCTATCTGCTCTTTCCCTTCATCTGACTCCTCTAAATCATCTGGTTCCACATTTAGTATTGCTGCAACCTTCTTTGAAGCGGCTTCATTTATCTGTCGCAACTTTCTTTTCCCTCGCTTAAGTTTTGATGATTTTGGCAGAGAATGCACTTTCATCGGTGAAACATCAAGAGTAGTCAGCTTTTCATGCAAAAACTTCCTCTCGTTTTCAAAAGATGTGTCTTTTCTAACTTTTCAATCAACTTGTTGTCCTCTGCCATTGGTGAATTCTGCTTTTCCTCTACTTCCAGTTTCAGGTCATTAATTTCAGGGCGGGAAGGGCCATATGGCCCAAAACAATACAGCTTTGGAAATTTTTTCTCTTGTAACGCCTATTTCATAAAAGGCTGCAAGGGCCATACGGCCCACCTTTGTTCTTCAAATCATTTGAATTTGGTGTCATTTACACGAAGGACTTTCATTGCATAACGACATTTTTGAGTAGCGGTCGAGCGACTCCCGACGTGCGATTTTCAAGTTCACTTTACAGGTAAGGAATTGCGTTTTTAAACCTCAATAAAATTCTTTTGGCTTTATTAGCCTAATGCTTTCTTTTTTATTCGTATATATTTGCCAAAAAGTAAAGGAAATATTCAAAACCGTTTGGATTTTGCAGCTGGGCCATATGGCCCTTTCAGCCATTAGAGGAACTGAATGGGCCTAAGTTGGTGTAAGCGAAACCAATGTTTAGTGTTGTATTCTAAGCAGTTCTCGCAAATAATGCTCAGCATTTTACTCAGAAATTTGTATTTGTTTCTGTTTCTCTACAAGCATTTTAAATTTTTTTTAGTCCTTATGGCAGAAAGATTCGAAAAAGGGGAAATTGTTATTGACCCAGAGTTTGGGCTTAATTCCGAACAGGAAACTGACTCAAGTGACGACGAGGCACAAATAGACGATTCAGATGATGATGTGCCACTTGCAGATTTAATTCCTTTGTCTGAAGTAGCAAAGAACGATGTTGCAGAGCATGTTTATCGCTGGAGAGCAGATAGAACACCACCTCCTCAGATGAGTGGTGAATTCAAAGGAAACTTAGAGGTTGATGAAGGGGATTTACACAATCCTATCGATTATTTTAAATCCTTTATGGATGATGAAATGATCCAGCTGATTGCAGATCAAACAAATCTGTATTCAGTACAATGTGATGTTGCCAAAGGGAGCATTGCAACTACAAAAACAGAGGTAGAACGGCTCCTCTCAGTCTTTCTCAAGATGTGCATTGTCCAAATGCCAAGATATTCGATGTATTGGGAAGCTGAAACAAGGTACAGCCCAATTGCTAGCTTGATGAGCAGGGATCGCTTTAAGAAATTGAAGGGGTTCCTGCACTTCAATGACAATTCAAAAGCACCTAGCAAAACTGAAAATATGTATGATAAGCTGTACAAGATAAGGCCACTGCTGCAAATGCTAAGAAAAAATTGTTTGGCTGTGCCACCTGAAGAAATCAATTCTGTTGATGAGCAGATGATTCCTTTCAAAGGGAAAAGTAGCCTACGAAGGTATCTCCCAAAGAAGCCAAAGAAATGGGGCTTCAAAGTTTTTTCCAGAAATGGTCAAAGTGGATTCTGCTATGATTTTGAGGTAGAAGGTGCCCCAGACCCACAACAAGAAAACAGAGTCAATCCAGTTGACCTAATTGGAAAAAGTTCTGGAGATGTGGTTTTGAGAATGTGCAGTTATTTGCCAAAGAACCAGAACTATAAGGTTTATTTTGACAATTACTTTACATTCCCAGAGCTTTTGAGTAAACTGAAACAATGGGGCATCTGTGCTGTTGGCACAATACGCCAAGATCGCCTAAGAGGATGCTCTGAGGTGATGAAAAGCGAAAAGGAGCTGAAGAAGGAGGGGAGAGGATCATTCTGTGGGGCAGTAGATTTGAATACTGGCACTACTGTCGTCCGCTGGTATGATAAGAAGCTGGTTCAGCTAGCATCAAATTATGCTTATACCCACCCAACTGATGTGGTTCAGAGGTGGTCCAAGACAGATAATAAATATGTTGAGGTACCAAGACCTCAAATTGTTGTAACATACAATGCAGGAATGGGAGGTGTTGACCTGTTTGATATGTTTCAAGCTCTTTACCGTCTGCATCATAAATGTCGGAAAGGATACATGCGTTTCTTTTTTGGGATTCTGGGCACAGCTGTCATAAATGCATGGTGCTTATACCGCAGAATGATGAAGCAAAAAGGTGTGCCCATTGCCAAGCAGCTTGACCTTTTGAAATTCACATGCTCAGTGTCACACTCACTTGCAGAGGCTAAATACGAAGAAAGGGAAGAGGGAGGCCAAGCATCGAGGCACCATCTGTACCCACAGATAAGCTGCCCCGCAAAGCACCCGAAATGGACCACCGACAGATATTCGCACTGATTCTGTCAACCATTGGCCTCTTCATAGGCCAGATCGTCCTCGCTGCTTTCACTGTGGGGAAAAAACCAGAATGGGGTGCGAAAAATGCAAAAAAGGCTTGTGTTTGACAGAGAAGAGGAACTGCTTCAAAGACTACCATAAATAGACTGGAATACTGAAATATTTTGCATGACTTTGTACTCTTTTGTTTATGCTATTTATATGCAGTTTTACATGAGTTTTTTTATTGATTCGGAAAACTATCGTTCCTTGAATAGCTGGAAGGGCCATATGGCCCAGCCCCAAGATTTACCCCAAAATTAGTTTTTTTCATAAAATTATTCTGAAATTCAACTTCTCCTTGTCTGTTTACCTAAAAAACATGTTTATTTATTTTTATTTCAAATGAACCTAAATTCAGCCTTGAAAGGGTCAAACAAGAGGGACATAGTTTGTCTCCAGGAACAATCATAAAACCAATTGTGACCATGTACTGTGCCAGTGACAACTTTACTTCTTTCAATCCACCTAAGAATAAAAAATGCATTTTGAAATGAATATACAAGCTTCAGTTTCGAAAATTTTTATTTATACATAAATAAAATATATATATTTAAGAAAAATTATTAGCCTGATCCAGTCATCAAACAAAAATCTTCACAAAAACTACACCACATTTGTAACTCATTAAAACCATTATTTAACGAAATTTTAGCAGTATTTTAAAAGAGATTATGTACAGCAGGATTTTTTATTAAAATTAAAAAAATTGAATGTGAATTTGAAATATTTCTACAAACCTTTCACAGGCTTTCTGTGTTTTTTGAATGGGTCAGCGCAACGAGTAAAGTTCATTTGGAATCTTGTAGTCAGCATATATTCATGGTGGTAGCATATATTTGCATTAACATTCAAAATGGACAATTCGGACCTCCAAAATATCAGTTCTCTGACATTTTCCGGCAGAGATTCAATGGTTTTAAGACCAGTTGTTCTACTGTAGGTTAACAAATGACAGGCATCTCCCAATGAGTTTCCAATTGAACAAGAGTTACCATAAGGAGCAGTAGTCTAACAGGGCAATAGTAAACTGAAAAATGACCAACATCCCTCTCATTGGGTTTTTTAACTTGTTTTCTTCACAATGATAATTATGATGTAATTCCTGTGTCTTTGAAACTATTTTAAATTCTTGTGAAATGCTTACATAAATAATTCAAAGAGGTGACAATTGATAAAAAAAGCATTGCAATGAAACTATTTTAAATTCTTGTGAAATGCTTACTTAAATAATTCAAAGAGGTGACAATTAATAAAAAAAAGCATTGCAAACATTAACACTGGACTTTTCAATTTCACATTGTAGTTGCAGGATCTTTAAAAGGAAAACTTTTTGTATTGCAGACAATGTAGTTTTGACACACCCTAGAAAGGTGTGAAAATTACAAAATAGATCTTAATAGGATTATCAAGAAGCAACAATAGCTGTCTTAGCAATACAATCTCTAAGGAATTTCACTTGAATTGAATCCAATAGCAGACCAATGAAAAATAAAAGAATTTCCTAAAAATTATAGACAGTTTTATAGCTAATATAAATTCTTTGAATTAGATTTGAAAGAGAAAATTAGCAAAATCAAAAGGAACGCATAGGAAATGTCATCAAATCAAGGGCAAACATTTTTTAACTACACCTGACTTGACGAGCTCAAACAATTAATATACATCATCACTATATCATGTAAATCAGTGCAATATGTATCTTTTCCTATCCAAGACTGGCAAATCTCTATCAGCGTTAGCAAAACGTAAACTTGAAGCTAAATAATGAAAGTATATTAAAAGCAAGCTGAATTAAAGATAGAAAAACAAAACAAGCATACAGAAGATTTCCAAACAGAGAATTTCAGTATTGATTTAGATTTAGTGAATTATCATTGCTTAAAAGAAAGAATATCTTACTTCGATTGTTGCATGAAAATGCTAATTTTGGGCAATTTTTAACATGCCATATTTCAATAAAGGAAGAAAACACCCTAACAGTTTTTTCTACCTTGCTTGTTCCTTTAGTACTCTAATCAAATTTAAAAACTCAAATCATTCCAACTTAAGCAACATGATGAAATTCACACCATTATCCTCACCGGCCATTGCCATGGCAACAACTTCCCCTTCTTTTTCTATATTGAGAATGACTTTTGTTTGTGACTGGAAATTATTGATCATGTTTTTGACATTTACATAGTTGATTAGCTTGTCTGGTTTATTTTCATTTCAAATGTGTCATTTCTTCATCGGTTCTAATTTAAGTAAATAATAGCAAAAATTCAAAATGGCGGATCATTGAAAAATGTGCCAAAATTATTAAAATTTCAAACCCGTCTAACTTTTTAATAGTAAAAGATATGAAGATGAAATTTTCAGTTTATGTTCATGTCATGGTTTTCAACATGTCTACCAAAAATCATCCAAATCTGAGGTAGTGGGTTATGTGACTGTTTCACATTGACATGGAATGACCCTGTAGCTATCATTCAGGAATTGTGGTATTTTATTGGTTGACTTGCTATTTTGGGGCGTGCTGTCCAAATGTAGGATTGGCCTAACGTTTGAATATCCATCATGCATTTTCAAAATCGATTCTAGAAAATTTATGGAGACTTTTTTATTGCAGGATAATTCTTCCGATGAAAGTGGTGATAAGATTGATGAAATAAAAGCTAATAGAAAAGGGAAAAACACCAAAATGTCTGTGAGAGGAAAATCACGTCCAAGCAAAAAACCAAGACAAGTGGATGGAGATCCTGCTTGAGAGGACATTGATGAAACATTTCAGAATCCAAATAAAGATGCTCCTTTTTTGGATCACACAGGGATCAACAGGCCAGCAGCTAATGCAGAGTCTGTGCTGGACCATTTTTTACTTTTCTTTCCTTTACATGTTGTTGATAAAATTGTCGATGAGACCAATACATACTATCAACAACTTAGGTCAGAAAAGCAGTTGTCAGGAGAACCATTCGAGATGACAAGAGAAGAGCTTCTGGCATTTCTTGGCATAAATATAGCTATGGGTTTGGCAAAACTCCCAACAATAGAGGATTACTGGAGAAAAGGTATCACCCACATGCCTTGGTTTCGCTCTGTTATGCCCAGGAGAAAATTTCAACAAGTACTCAGGTTTTTGCATTTGGCAGACAACAGCAAACAGCTTCCAAGATCTGACCCAAACTACAATAAGCTCTATAAGTTAGGGGACTTGATGGCTTGCTTCAATAAATGCTTCAAAGAAATGTATGCTCCCAGGCAGAATCTTTCTATTGATGAGCAATGATCGGTACCAAGTCAAGGATAGGCTTCCTTCAGTACATGCTGAAAAAACCAAAAAAGTTTGGCATAAAGGTATGGGTCTTGTGCAAAGCAAAATCTGGATATTGCTTGCAGTTCCATCTACTGATTTTGCTAAAAATACTGATTTTGCTGGAAGACGAGGGTCCCATAAGCTTTTTCGTGAAGTACTTGTTCATCAACTTGTTCAACCATATCTTGACAAAATTGCTAATGAGGAAATGACAAGTAAGAGAATGATTGAAGTAGCGGTAAAGCAACGTAGAGTCGATGATGATGTTAGGCTTATTGGGAAGCACTACGTGACAAAAAAAAGAAACAAGAAGAAAGTGCAGCAACTGTGCTTATAAGATCAACCAAGAGACTGGAAAAAGAAAAAACACTAGAACACATTTTTGTGAAAAGTGCAGAAAATACATTTGCGGCAAGTGCTTCAAATACTTCCACACTGCAAGCAATCTTGCATAGACTGTTTGTGACGATCCTACATTTATTTTTCTTGCATCCATTGTAACAAAGAAGGCAATATGTAATTCCTTTCTATAAAGATTAATTAATTTTTACTCCTTGCAGTTTTATTGCTTGTCATTTAATGCTAATTTTTCTCTAGAGCCAAACAAAAAGTTGGAATGAAAGAATACTCTAACAAGTTTTCGGAACACAAAAACTGTTTATCACATAGGATGCTTCTATTAGCCAAAAAATTTTGCTAAAATACAATATCTGTTATTTTCTTCAAATTTTCCATTGCTCTCTACATTTACAACATAAAATTAACAAGTTTTTGCAAGTTTATAGTGTATTTCATGACAAAAAGCTTCAAAAAATTGCAAAAATTTTACTTTTCGTAAATAATTTTGCAATATTGTTCTTATTTTCATTGTTTGTCTGCTATCATGACAACAAATATTAAAAAAAATTTTACAAAAAATGATTGCCCATTCAATAAGCTTTCAGGAAATGTATACCTTTCCATAAATGGTTTGCATTTCACTTATAGAAAATTAAAAGAATATTAAACAGTAGTTTTTTTGTGGTTTTTCGCATTTACGTCAAAACATTGAAGGTAGCTCAGTGAAGAGATGTATTAAACATGAAGTTTTTATACCAATTATTTTGAAATGGTACATTACAGCTCTAAAATAATGCAGACTACAGAAAAAGATAATATCTAAAATATTAAAAAAGCTGCGCTACTTTATTACTACAACAACAAAGTTACTGTTTACAGTTGCAGTTATATGAAAAGACATGACGATTTCACAGATGGTGTTTTCAGGTGTCAGGACATATTACATTACATAAATAAACACAATGAACACAAGGTGAGATCCCAACACGTGCATTGGAGGAATCTGCCTATAAGAGCAGATTCATTACAGTCAGTAGTGTAATTTGATTGGTTAGACACACAACGGGTCAACCACTTGGATATTTTGATGGTACAGAATATTTTTGGCACATACTACTGATCAATTAGGCAATTCCATTTACATATGTTTAAATAATGTTATATCAATAAAATGTTCTTCTTGATAGGAATTACTTGAAACTGACATTCTCATCCAAAAATTAGAAGAGCATCCTATAGACAGCACAGCAAATGCATATCAGCTCATTGAAAGTAGCGATGAAAATGATACTATCTATCAGGATCTCTATTAGTTCACTACAATTAACCAAAGAAGACAAAGAAATTATGCAGTTCTCTGATATGTGGTTAAATGACAGGATCATAAATGCAGTACAGTTTATTTTGAAGAAGCAGTTTCCACTCATTGAAGGATTCCAAGATACACCTATTCAAAAAGCATCATTCAAAGTAATGTCTGGGGAGTTCGTGCAGATCATCAATAAATCAGGAAACCATTGGATGACACTGTCTGCCCTTGGGACAAACCATCAGAGCAGCATCAAGATTTTTGACAGCATGAATTCCAAAGTGCTGAATCACAATATTGCTTCTGTCATCATGACAAAAAATCGAGCCTTCCATGTCAAAGTGGAAAATGTACAACAACAGCCAGATTCCTATAATTGTGGTTTGTTTGCCATCGCATTTGCCACTCATTTATGCTTCCAGCAAAACCCAAGGTTCCTTCACATGTAACATATGCAGTGAAAAGTTCCACAGGTACAGTCAGCATGCTGTAAAAGGGCAATGGCATAGTGACTTGTGGTATTGCAACGAGTGCTGGATACTTGTTTGAAACGACTGTAGACTTCCTAAAATCTGTGGAGGGAATAGAGCAACAGCAAGAATCAAAATGGTATGTCTGTTTCATTTGCCAAGTGGCAACGCAAGAAAGTCTAGTTTGTCCTGCAACAAACAGCAGACAACTAGATAAATCGTTTGGTTATCGAAGCATTACAGAGCAATTAAAGAAGTTCGAGGAGATTGGAGAGTTGCCCGGTACTATCTAGCAGAGGACTCACTTTTTAAGTCAAAGAAATCTGGCTGAAAAGCTTTTGGAAAACGATGCCAAGTTTCATAAGCAATGCAAGAATAGATACGATGATAAGATACGTTAGTGCAGCATACAAGAAGGGCTTTGTACCAAGGCGGGTAAGGATTACCATTTAGCTTTTATTAAATGTTGTATGTGCAAACTATTACATGAATAATTCATTGCCCTGAACCAGTTTTTGAACTTGTTATTGTACTGTATCCAACGACCAAAGATCTATATAGGCTTAAGTTTTGTATATATTTATAGGCGAATACAATTGAGGTGAGAGACAAAAATGTACTTCATCCTGTAATGAATCCCAAAAAAGTTCTTGCTATAATAATTATATTAATAATTCTTGCTTAAAAGGCTGAGCAATAAAATTTCAGGAATCCACAAATCTATTTGCCTACACATTTTCAGACGATACAAACTTACGCTTTGCTTTTTAGAATTATTTGGGGCCAATCTCTTAACCGATGGCAAACTGTACCCAACTTTGTTGATTATGGATGGCGAATGACAGATGGCGAATGACAGATGGCGAATGACAGATGGCGAATGACAGATGGCGAATGACAGATGGCGAATGACGGATGGCGAATGACGGATGGCGAATGACGGATGGCGAATGACGGATGGCGAATGACGGATGGCGAATGACAGATGGCGAATGACAGCGAATTGGCGAATTACGATGGCGAATGGATGGCGAATTGGCGAATCGGATGGCGAATGGATGGCGAATTACGGATGGCGAATTACGGATGGCGAATTACGGATGGCGAATTACGGATGGCGAATTACGGATGGCGAATTACGGATGGCGAATTACGGATGGCGAATTACGGATGGCGAATTACGGATGGCGAATTGGCGAATCGATGGCGAATACGATGGCGAATCACGATGGCGAATATAGTGACACCAATATGGACACTGATCCCTGAAGCATCACAGGCCTGTCATGAGCTTGTAAAATGCGGTTTCAAGGGAAATTGTTCCCCTAGATGCAAGTGCAAGCGTTATGGACCAGAGTGCACAGAACTATGTCAATGTGGTGGACAATATATTGATCTTGAAATATAAATAGTTTAAATATCATATTAGAAATTTGAAATTTGGAGCCAAGTGCCCCCTTCTAAAAACTGATCTAAGGTAATTAAGTGCTAGATTTTGCGAAATCCGTTTTTAAGTACTAAAATAAATGTTTCTGTTTTACGCGATTAGTAATAGAACTTTCGGTGGTTGCATTTTATTTTCAATTACAGGGTAAGAGACCGAGCTAACATTTCTCAAAATAGAAAATGGGGTCTTATTATGGTCGTAGTCTTCATGGCTTTGTATCATATTTCACGAATCAAATCTATGATCTATGATCAATTTTTGTGCAGATACACTCACTATGTCGCTTGCAAATCACTTTAATTATTTTGAGGACTGGGACCAAGTTCAATGTTCTCAAAATAGAAAATGAGATACTTAATGGGCTCTATTTGCTTTGAATAAAATAAAATCTAATTGACTGTAGATAAATAACAAATTTTGTGGAAATATTATTGTTACATCACTCGCAACTGACTCTTTTCATTTTGAGGAATGGGACCAAGTTCAATTTTCTAAAAAAAGCTTTTGAAGGAATTTTTCAGCTTGGATCTGTTTCGCATTATTTTCTACGGCTCAAACTACATAAGTTCTGAAGTTTCCATCCTGATATCATTTTTTGCATGCTTGTTGTGCTTTCAGAAATATCAAGCGATGAACTTTGTTTTGAGTTAGGCCATGTTTGTTGAGCGAAAGAAGCATGGCGTCGAGCGACTGTAGTGCATTGAGTGATAGTGATTCTAAAAGTAGCGATTCCTCTCCTGCTGATATCGGAGATTTTAGTAACAAATGTATTGATAAATTCTACAATGTTTTTGGAGATTCGGATGATGAAGAAGAGGAGTTTGAGGTATTCCGTTTCGAAATGCCGAGATGCCGGTTGGGAGGAAATGTGTGAAGACAATCAGCTGATTCTGAAACTGTAGATGAAAGGTGGAAACCTGCAGAGGTAGCAAATGTTGGATGCAAAGCCAATCAAATATTTACAATTATTTTAATTGGACGAACTACTGCAAAATGTTGTAGACTGGACCATTATAAACACATTAAAAAAATTGGGTGAAACCAAAGGAGAACGCCAGACTTTAATCTTGGATACATATTTATGTGTTGTACTTATTGCAAACAGTTTGCTAACAATATCCAGAAATGAAAGATACTATAGCAGACGAAAATAAATGGACTTTCATACAAAAATATGCAAGGTCTTTTCAAAGAACAGATTTAGAGAAAGAGAGATTTCTGGCAATTATAGCATTAAAAAGGACTTGTGGGGATGTGAAAAAATTCCTCTTGAATGTCTTCCTATAGGTTACCTAGGCAAGTTTCTTCCCGAAGGAAATAAGTTGTGTGACCTCCCAGGTTATAATAGTGGAGATGTTATTTGTTGGAAACGGTTTGATGGATGTACATATGCATTCCATAAAAGATGTTTGACAAATGAAGATGTATGCCCTATATGTCAAACATTTCTCAAAAAAGAGCTTGAGCGGCTGGCAAAAATTGCAAAAAATGCAGTTTTATCACAGGAAGTTAGAGATGATATCAATGATAATATATCTAATGAAACAAATAAGGAAGTTGATGATGACCCATGTGTAGAAGACATTACAAAGGCAGAGGTAATAAACAAAATTGGGGAACTAACTGAAGAATTATACAGTCTCTCACCTCCTTCTTATTTAATTTCTGAAGGACTCTCTTCTAGTGACTGTACTTCAAGTAATGATAATCGTTGCCCACATTGTAGAATCTGTCAGCATGAAATGAAAGGGCATAAAAAGATATCTGACGATAAAAGCACGGTCCAATTTGCCCAGGAAGTATTTGTTCTGCTTCAGGACTTTGCATTCCATGTACTTGTGATTTTCATTCATCCCAGCAGGAAGTGAGTACCCATGAAGAAAGTTTAATTCTCTCTTCACATTTCTTTGTCAGAGATCACATCAGTAAATGCATTTTCCCTTCTCAGATATCAAAGGAGCAGATGGCAAGATCATTCTGGTGCAATGCTTGTACAGTAATTTCTTTGTATACAGGAATTTCCTTTGTAGACAAAACTTTACATCTTTCCTTGGGGGACATTACTGAAGAATTAGCCATGCAATATAAGGCCTGCATCCAGCTTTGAGTATCAGTGTATGAGAACATCCACAACCCACCTGATAACCAACCAAATCTTTCTGTTACTGATGTCTTGTCCCAAGTTCGACTGCCACTTAGGGACCCTGGTAATTTTAAGGGCATTATGATTGATGATACAAGTGAAAGCTCCTTTGAGGTTGTTGTTGCAAATTCTTCAAGTAGACCTGGCAGGAAATGTCTTCTGTTTATTTTACAGCCTGATCATTTAATTTTTTTTGTATGAATAATGACACAATAGCAGCCTTTGACAGTCATCCTAGAAATCCTAGAAATGATCGTAGACCAGAAACATCATTGGGTGCAGGCATCTTCAAAACAGCATCAACCTTAGGACTTTTTGCTATCCCTTTGCTGGGCAACAGATGTTCCAGGTACTCGACGTATGATTGAGTGAATGAGCACTTTTGGAAACGACAACATAGTCCCCTCTCACTCAGTCGCTTAAACAACCTTTTTAAGTTTGTAAGGTGCTCTTCTGCAGTTGAACCACTGACCAGTATGTCATCCAGATAAACTGCAAAAGACAGATAAGAACAAATCAATATGTCTTAATAAATACAATAACAAATTTCATCGTATCTACATTATATAAAAAAAAGAGTACAGCAGAATTGAAAATGTAGTATAGGAAACATGATTCACACATAAAAGAGATTATCCTTTTGAGCGATGAGCAAAGCTTTTATCAAATTAATACAAATAGGATGTAACCTTTAATTATACTTCTGGCTTCGCTCAAGTTTGCAATGAATGTCTTGAGGGAGGATGCATCTCAACCTCGTTGTAATACTCCTCTAAAGACTCAACAATGGTTGTTGAACTGCGTTGCTAGAGAGACACTAGAACACAGTCGAAATCCAAATAATTAGATCAAAATAGGGCATCATCTAATTAGCACCATGAGAGTTTCTGCAAATCCCTCATTTTAGAGAAACCTAAGAAATCTTTTAATTCACCATCCTTACCACAGACATTTCTTTGCAACTCTCTTTCCCAGTCTTGAATTCAGGCCTCTTCTATATTGACGCCTGATTCAACTTGCAATGAATTCATTCCAATTCATTTCATTTAAGTTTCATTAAAACAAATAGCTGTGGGTTTTGATATTAGGAATTTATTATATTTTTATGTAATACAGATTTGTGAAGGAAAGGATGAGATTAAAAGAAGATAAAGAGATAAGAAGAATGAAAAAACTTAAAATTAAAATGACACCTTTGTGTATTGCTTTGACAATGAAAATGCGAAGTTATCAATTTTTCTTTTGTTCCAGAACGCAGTGTGCTCTGTTAGCGAATCTATTCAAGCTGAAATAAGAAACATACAGTAGATGAACTTCACTTTCATTTAAGTTACAAGTACTTGAAGAAAGTACATCAACGAAAATGTTTAATAAATTTGAAAATTAAACAAAACTCGATGTTTTGTATTCCTTCAAGACATTTTCCATAACTTTGGTTTAACTTCGTCTGGATAAGTATTTTAAAAAAATTAGATACCAGCTGTATTCATGTTCTTGGTAGTTAACCCGCATCTAGCTAGACAGGAGAAAAACTGCTCCATGGACTCGCCAGTTGACAAAGCCGCTTTTTCCTGGTACAAGCCCTCCCAGACAATCTAAAAAAATGTTATTTTACAATAAAGACATTGTAAAAACAGCTGGGTAGAGAAAAACATAATTAAACTCGAAAGCAATTTTGAAAGACTCTTTGCATTAACAGAGTGTTGCATTAACAAAAACTTGACATATTTCACTCACATGGACAGAAAGGCTGCATCATGCCAGCGTAGCGGGCATAACTGGGGCTACTATTCCTATAATCTGTGTTCTAAAACGAGGCTTTGTGTTCTAAAATACGTGTCTAATTTATCATTATCATTAGTTTAGTTACCTGACAGTCAAGTGAATGGGCTTTAGCATGCACAACAGATTATGCTGTGGACATCGACAACAAGTGTGACAATTCTGGCACTCTTGTGCTGACTTTCTCAAGCCATGGCCAGTATTTGCCCATGATATCTTGCCATAAAAACTGGATGTTGACATTCGACATTAGCTCCTTGTGCAGATACAGAGCATAGCCATACTGTTCTCCTGGAAACATATTTACAGCTTTCAAAGCAATAACATGGCGATAGATGGCTACTACTAGTCCTGTATCATCCAGAGTTACAAAACCAGTTTTGGCTTAGGAGCGTGCCTTATCCAAGAGTTCAATTTCTCTACATTTTTCTTCATAGAACTGTTCCTTTGCTTTCCTGAATTTCTTGTTTATTATTTAGCTTAAAGACTTGTACTTTGTTTTATCATCTTTCACTAGTCTTCTTTCTTTCATGATGTCTAAAAATTTTATCTGTCATCCATTTTTCATATGTTCTCCTTTTCCACATATTCTATTTGCAAGCTCAGTTAGACCTTTATTAAGATGGTTCCATGGACTTTCGGTAATTTCTGTTTTGATTTTGATAGTTTCGTTCAGAGTTGATGCATATTCTTGGCTTACTTTTTTCTTTAGTTTTGCATGAATTTTTATCCAGACTTGGTCGTGGTCTAATCCACAGTCTGCATCTTTGCGTGTTTTCGCATTGGGGACCCATTATCATGGAGAAAACCATGAGAGAAACCAAAGTCGATAAAAAGACGCTGAGCTGATGAATACGTTGTTTAGTAATGCTAAACAGGGCATTCGTCAAGTACGCTTGCCACTTTGCATCCAAGCAGGACACAACAGTTTGTACAGAAGCTTGGGATGAATTACCAACGAAGCAGAAGCCGCATCTGGAGCACTCCTACAAAGCTCCTGCAATTCAAAACGAGATAACACGTCAGCCTGGACATTATATTTACCTGGTATATGAAAAGCAAATGTAATGTAGAGAATGTAAAGCTACATAAAACAGCCTGCTCAGACAACTCCCTAAATAAGAACGCCAAGTGATGGTCTTTGCAACTCCCATTAAGCAACAGGGTCACAACCGCCTGATTGTCACATTTAAACACAATACGCATGGAAGACCAAGAATAACCCCAAATATAGGATGCTAACAGAATGGGGATAAGTTCCTTAACAGCAATATTAAACCCTATAGGCCACTAAGCCGCAAACCAAGACTGCTTGTTGATGGCCGCAAAACCCACAGCCCCTGCCGCAAAACCCACAGCCCCTGCCTCATCGGATGTGGGAAATGTCACCCTATCCTCATTTTGCCATGAATTGGCATAGATAGCTTTTCTTGGGTTTGAATGGAAAGGGATTTTTACTGCTGTTTTTCAGTTACCCCTCATGTTTTTTGCTTTTTGCTGTTCAGTCCTGTGGGGTGAAGTAGTTTTAACTCCGAAATCGAAAGAAGCTGGAAAATATCAAGGTTATATTTGAATTATCGGAAGAACTGCAGAATATTGAACTTATATTTGAATTAACTAGCATATTTTATGGATTAATCGAAAGACTATCAAAAGACAAAGGAATGTACATAAAATCAGAGACTTTCAGGGCTTAAAGTGAACTTCCAGCTTAAAGGGCGAATATCACCATTCACAAAAATAAGGATGCTGGTAGAGAATTTGATCCTGAATTTGATGGTATAACGAAAATCTTGATAATTTTCTCGATAATTGCCCCTAATACCCAATTTAATCTGTCAAGGTCCAGAAAATAACCGCGCATAAAATGGGACTGGATCCAGCAATTGCAAAATGCTTGTGACGTAACAATTGGAACGCACCTTGCCACACAATAGATATTAAATTCAGTGCTTAAACCTAGCACACTAAACGTTTTCCTTGGATTAGATGCCGGCAGATAGGTATTGAAACTTTAGGAATGTCAGAATCTGAAGCATTTATTTGCTGAAGAAGAAAAATGGATATGGTGGATAATTAGGTCGGAGGAAGAGATACCGGCCTTGCAGCAATAGAATCGGTTGATTTTGTCTTGGGGGAGGATACTTACCAGGATGATTAGATCGCAGATGAAGAATGGATAAGAAGATATAACAAGGAGATGGAGGAAAAAAACTTCTAAACAAAGAGCTAACTAGACGCTTAAACTGCAGCACTGACCTGAGTTTATGGTACGTAGTTACATTGCTGACTCGTTTAAGTTACACATAAGTAATTCGAATTTTAGGCCATACTGATTTTAGGCCTAAAATGATAATGAGTTTGTTTTGCTCGGTTAACTCATTATTTTTAGGCCCTCGTTTTCAAAGTATGCCCTATGACTATACTCTTAAAGTTTGTGTAATTTCGAAGATAAGTGCAGTTGTGGGAAATGTGACATATCCCTCCTGCAAAATGCGAAAGAGTGTAAATGTTGCCTTGAGGTAGAAGGCTGCGGAAAAGCATTGGCTGATGAACTGGTTTCAGAAGATACTGTTGGGGACATCGTCTGCATTACACAGCACCCATGCTTCAGACCAGTTGTTTTAGAGAAGTGGTCATTGCGACAAACAGCTGAACGATATTTGACTTCAGAAAGTACTATTAAAAGGACTCTTAAAACGAGTGAGCACTTTGTTTAGAAAATTAAATTTACTTTTTAACTGATAGATAAATAATGTAGCCATCGCAAGCTAACAACAAAGCAGTTTGGTTCATAAAAAATTTCAAGATTTGACACAAAGTTTGTGTTTTTCTCATTTCTTATAAAAGCATGTACCAGAAACGAAATGATAACTTTTCTTTAACACTGAAATGTAGTAATAATGATTTTTTTGTATCTTTCTTTGAAGTGTGGCATATCGGGAATTCTCAAGGTTAGTCCATGGAAAACTTGGAGCAAAAAGAATCCCTTGACCTGCATGTGCCTACCATGAGATAAGGAAGGTATTCCCAAACAAAGAATACAAAGGATATGAAGACTTAAAGGCACTGAGTGAGTAGATAGATGTCCTTCCCTGTGTATCATTTGCTTCTGGCATGATCACTCTAGTTTACTTAGATGTTTGCAACCACTGTAATTGGTTGTAGCCTTTTTGAAAAATCAAAACAAGTTCAAGTATTGTGATAAATCTCACAGCAACCAAAAGTCATTCTGCTGTTTATTTTCATTGCCATCTCCAATCATCATGTCTCCATGCCTTTAAAGACGCACAGTAATTGTAGTATGTATGTTTGTATATATTTATGTGTGTATGTATGTATGTATGTATCATGAATATTTTAAAAGGATATGTACATTTGTTAGTCATCCCCACTAAGCAGACCTGGTCACCATAAATGGGTTTAATGCACACACCTCCAACTCATAGGTGCAGAATATTCTCTTCTGATAAACTTTGTTTAGCAAATATCCTTTCATGGTATTATTTAACTACATGCTTGAATAAGGCCTGGATATATTTTCAGAAAATAATCATTTTAATCAACTTAAAATATTGTTCTCTGCACTTGGATATCTTTTGATTGGGTGATCACCTTCATAATTTTGTTCTTTTTTATTTTGTGCTTGTTGCTATTGTTGTCTCTGAAACTGAAATGGTGCTATATCAAATCATTTAAGTATAAATACAATATCATGGACTCATTTAATATAAAAATGAATTCAGCATAAAAAATATAGATAATTCAAAATTCTGTTATAGTGAAAATAATGAAAATAACGAATAACTGGTATCTAGAATCTACCTGGGTTTGTTGGAGGAATGTCTTGTACAACTTTTTTCAGCCTTTCATTTCTCTTGCAAATAGCATCACAAGGTGTCTGCTTTGTGTTGAAGCTGGAGCTAAGTGGAGGCGGTGCCATGTCTTTGAGTTTCTTTTTGTTGTCCTCAAGCATTGACCCATTGCATGCAGTTACCATTGTACTATAGATGTCATCAATATAAACTAAAAATATAAATTTCCATATATGTGTTGCAGGTGATAATCAGCACTGACGTCTGGTGTAATGAAAATGTTAGGTATTTTAGCCATTTCTTTTGTTAAGTCATAATCAATATTATCAACATTGTTTTTTGTGAATAAATTAAGGTTGCTTAGTATCATGAAAATATTTATATATTAGTGTCTTGTCAGAATGCCTGTTTCCATACTCATACAAATCGTTTTACTTTAAGGTGAATTGTAAATATATCATGTAAATACCATATTTTGGAAGATTGCGGATATTTCTGACTGTTGCCTCGCCGTTTTTAAACTTTGGGTAGTTGACATTTAGTTGTTCTGTTCCATCCTTGTTTTTCCTGACACCTCTTAGCAGATTGTAGTTGAAGTGTATTGATGCTTTTGCATGTCTGTGAGAAGAGATAAATTTTAGATATCAAGAATAGGAAGATTGCATATGAATATAGTTCACAGCTTGTTCTTTAAAGAGAAAAGAATCAAGGGGTTCCCACAATTTTAAGTCCAATAAAAATTGAAACTTTAGTCCAGAAAAATATGGAGACAAATGTGCAAATTAATTGTCTAATTAATGAAAGAAATGTGACAGCAAATGCAAATATGAAAAGAATAGAAAGATTTTTTATCTATTATGAAAGGTATGATAGGTAACTCGCCTACAATACATTCCAGGGTGTGAAAAATTAATCATTTTAGGACAGAAATGGTTAAGAACGGAATGGAATGCCTCCAAACAGCTTGTCTGTGCCAAAGGGGAAGCCTTTTTTCTACCTTTAATTAGGCTGTCAGTTAGTAATGCCTTTTCCATCTTCTCATTAGCAATTTTGTACAAAACTTTACAGCTATCAATTGAAAGAGGATTAGACCAAGATAAAAATATGGTTGCTACAGTGCTAGTTTGGTGCTTTGATTCTTCATGATTGTCAAAATAAACAGTAATTGATGGCTAGTACTGACCTTCTTTTAACCACATTTTTGTTGAGATATCCTTGCTATGGAGGCACTTGTCAAAAAGAGGGTCATCAAATCCTTCATGAATGTTTTTAATGTGTTGGAGAAATGTTTTGAACTTCACAAATATGACATCACCATTGCCGTTAAATGTAGTTTTGAGACTCCAGAACAAGTGAAGTACACAGGGCTTGATCCATTTTGACAACTCCTCGCATCCTTTAATTTTGGCTTTTTTGTTTAAAATTTTCTTGAACCTCTGAAACAAAGCATCATAAACATTTATAAGGAAGGAATGCAAAGTGCATCAATGATTTGTGGGTATGCAGGCTTTGAGAAAAAGATTTACACAAAAAAGAGAAAATTAATCATCCACTTTTCTTTAAATGCCACAAATCAAGTAGTGGCTCACAGTTGGTAATTTTTCCCTCATGTGCTTTGGAATAGAGCAGTGCCTATCAGATATAAATGCTGACATTGTGTGTCCAACACCAAACAAGTATGTCATACTTCGGAGGAACCCTTCAAACTCCATTGCTGAGCTTCCATTAACTTCGTTGCTCTGTATAATAGATGAGAATAAATGGTGAGAGTTAGCAGGTAATAATTGGAAACATAAGTTCACATTTTTGATTTTTCAAATTCCCCTCTCTCTTGCTTAGGGAAAAGGAAAATCAAGCCAATGAAAAGCAATATTATCAACAAAAAAATTGACACGTATAGTGTAATCAAGGGTATTCGAAAAATACAAAACACATTATAAAACCTAAAAGTTTAGAAAGGTATACACATCTGGACAAGGGAAAAATGAATAATTGTGGGAACAGTGCAAAGCATCAAAGTATATGCCCCCTACTTGGCGTTGTGACCCATGCTATCGTGACGTCCATCACCTGCCAAAACCAAGCTCTCTCCCTTACTTTTCAACTCAGAGATGAGTTTTTGCTTGTAGTTGACCCAGTGAGGGTGAATTGATGGAAACAAGAAACCCTTTAAAGGAAGTTAAATCATTAAAAACTTTCAGTATAATTTGTATCTGTTTCACAAAGATGTAGAGAAAATATACTTTCCAGATTAAAATGGATCACAATAATGGTATGTGATGGAAATTGTTTTTTTTAACACCTAACCTGAGAATGATTTCCACAACAAATTGATCATAGCTGTCTGTAAAAATCTGAAAATTTTGATATTTAATTCCAAATCTTTGATAAAAATCTTTACATTTTTAGTCTCTATACATTCAAATCTCTCATATGGCAAGCCCAAAAGTAGGATAAATATACATGATAAATATTTTAGTACTCATTGACTTAATTACAAACCCTTTGATGACGAATAAATGTGGGAAGTGTGATACATGAAACACCCATTATTTTCAACGTGTGGAGAATCTTGCTAGGCAATCCACCAGCTAGGAGAATGGCTAACGAAAGGAGAAGATTCCCAGCAGGGATTTTTGTATTTCCCCAATAAGGCTGGCTATTCCAACTGTTATGCCGTTGTCGACAATGGTAATTTCCACAAGTAATCTTTATTTTGGCCATCGTACCAACTATTTCAAGTTCGACTAAATGGTTTTCTGACTTGCAGCTTGGACAAAATTTGAAAAGGGCCATAAGCTGTGTTAAAAAAACCATAAACTTTGGCTGCTTTCTCAAATTGCTTTCACTGTTGTCATTTCTAGAAAGAAAAAGTAATTTTTTGGCTGAATAATTTTCTATGAATTATTGGTTTCTTCCTATCATGATAGTAAAGCACAAATGGGGTGGTTTATCTGGCAGATAGATCACAAGTCTGATTCTAATTTGCAATATTCTACTGCAATTGAGTGTTTCTAGACCACACCTAAGGTAACTTGGAAACCAATTACCCACAAAGCTAGCATATACATTCTAATATCAATATATTCTACTATCAAACACCAAATATAAGAAGAATAAAACAGACTTTTAAAAAACATTTTGAATGCCAACTTCATTAGTAACATAGTTATAGTATAACCCAATTTACATTGTTTTTGAGTCATTTGTGTCTTTAAATTGTGTTACACTGGGAGCCCATAGTCATCTGATTCCACCTCCTCCATCTCTTTGCAAACATTTTCATCAAAAATTTCAAAATCACCATCATCCAAATCACCATCATCAAAATCATCATCATCAAAACCCCCATCATCATTGTCATAATCAAAATCTTCACCAGGATCATAATCATCATCGTCATCAACAACTCCATACCAAAAATGTTGGTTGGGTTTGCGCTCATCTTGGCTTCTGTCAAATCTCAAAAGTAGAGATTGGTCAATAAATAATTAATTCTCTAAAGAGTTAAAAAGGTAGAGCCAGATTTATGAAAATAACTCAGATTACTATGAGCAAGTGACACAACAAGGGCACTAACTGACTAACTGAACTATTAATTTCTAATAATTAAGTCAGTTAATTTACTGAAATCCAAAGCTAAGAGATGTGGAAAAATTGTAAGCATACTTCACTTTCAGCAGATCCTAAAACACCAAACTAATTATACCTATAAGTAAAGCGTTTCATTATACCAATATTAATCTAAAATTGACTGTGTTTTTAGGCTCTTGAAAATACCACCCTTTCAATTTCGTCCTTGTTTCAAAGTAAATTGCCTAGCCCTTGCTTATGTATCAAAGTAGCCACCTTACTGATCCCTGTCAAATTAAAATGTTGAAAAAAGGTTTACCTTTTTTCATTTCAAGCCTTGATATTTTTAATTTGAAATTTGTTCCCAGCCATTGGACCTTGTATTTCCGCACCTGTTGCACTAGGTCTGTACACTTGGAACAATCCGCTAGTATCGAGTCTGCTTGACAAGCAAAGTCATTGGCTTTTGGAGTTGTTGAGTCATCCTTAAAATTGATGCAAATTTTAGTTTGTTAACTTATGATGTAAAAATTATCAAAATTTGACAGAAGATAAATAAATACTTTGGGCCTCCGACGAAGAGGGCCAGGGGCCATGGCCCCCTCACTTTTTGCATAACATTCGAGCTTTTTTTAAAACCTTTTGTTATTATTGTTATTTTCCCTTGGCCCGCCCACTTTCCAACCTGTGTCGGAGCCCATGATACTATAATTACTAAATGCACTAACCATTACGGGGGCGTCCATTTCAAGTGGCATATCTGCTTGTTCAGTGTCAATGGGATCAGCACTAGAAGTGAGGACATCGGTAGCCGTTGAGGCTACATTCTTTAACAACTGAAAGAGACAAACAATCAATTTCTTGTAGAGATACTGTCTTCACAATGTTATTACAATCGATTTTCTATAGGAAATTTGAAAATGAACTCAGTTAACTGTCCACGACTCCTCGCAGATATCTTCTGTTTGAACGCTTCTTGGGTTCTTGAACAGAGAGGAAAACGGCTATACCGATTTCATCAGTGATTAGGCCCCTCCTATAGGAAGATTCCATCCCAGGTACCGATGTGAACTGTCTGTCAAAGTCTGTCTGTAGGAAATGTTCTGAACAGACCACAGAAAACTTGGTATCTGTCCATTTTGCTCTCTTTCTCTTTACAAAATCAGTCCATTTCCTCCGCCTCTACTGTAGACACACATGAAACACATGAAAATGTAGTTCCTCTACTGTACAAGACGTATCAATAAGCCGGCATAAAAATGGCCTATCATGAACAATAGCCTGGCAGCAATGTTGTAGCACTCTTATTAACGAAAGGAGCCCATGTTTTGTGCATGAACTATGATGTAGCCAATTTCTTCGAGAGGCCCTAATCTTGCGAAGTTTAGGAGGCGGTAAGCAGAGTTCTTGCTTAAGGGTATCAAGTGTAAACTCCAAAAGGTTTTGTTGGTGGAAGGGCCTTCTGTTTCTTCTCTTGCCAATGGAATCCCCAGGGCCACGCAAAGTTGTTCACAAGTCGTTAGTGAGTCATGTGCCTGGGTTGAGGCCAGAGCCCCGCAATCTAAATAATGCAGAATGTACGCAACGCCACCCTTTTGTTTAAAAATTCATTGCAGCACATCCACAAAACGAGTAAGAGCTGATCTTAGGCCAAATGGAACGGCGAAATCGATATAAAATTGGCCCTGCTGAAACATGCCAAAAAGGCAATGCAAAGAGGGGTATACGGGTAGAAGTTGATACGCCCTAGAAAGGTCAAATTTTCTCAACATACATCCTTTACCCTGCCGCATGATTAACTGTATTGCTTCCGGAATGCCAGAAATTAAGTCATTAAAACTTCCTTTTTTGGAAGCGATAGGTTTGTAATAAGCCTAAATTTTCCTGGTGTAGACTTGGGAATAACCCCAAAACGATTTATCTGCAGATTCTATATAGGTGAAGCAGGGAAGGACCCAGCCATGGATCCTGCTCGTTGCTCTTCCTGCAAATAATTGTTAATAATTTCAGGGTGTTGGTAAGCTGAAGGGCAATTGCATTTGGCAGACATAGTGGAAGCTGAATGAATACCCAATAAAAAACCGTGCTTCAGACCCTCAACAACCCAGCTTGTATCATCAATAGCTGAATCCATTAAAAATTTAATTCAAGTGTCAATATGTAAAAGCGTGATCGACATAGGTTCAGGTAAACTATACATAGATCTGCAAACATATAATGGAAAAACATGACGAAGGTTGGCTATCAGAAGGCAGTAATTTACGAGATAGCTTGCTTGGTAAAGAGGACTCATGCTTGACCACAGGCTGGGGCCCTGTCTGACTAGTAGGAAACTTGTTTCTTGGGCACATAAATTTAAGGTGAAGCCCTTTACAAAGTTGGCAACAGTGCAGGAGCTTGCACGGATTGTAGGTGCAAGAACCGGCATTCCACTTTAAACACTGGAGCTGGGGCTTTGGGTAGGTAACCCTAACCCAATGGGATTGGGTAGGTATTCTGATTTTGCATGTAACCCTTCAGGCATTGTTCTAAAAGTGCCTTTTCAGATAATCTTTCAAATATTGGCTTCAATTCATTTCTGAACACATTAGGTAGGCACTTTGATGGCTTGTATTTATTTGTTTTACAAAAAAAATTTTTAGCCCGTTAACTTTTGCTCTGATGAAGCCCCGTATGCCGGGGCGAACACTTGTATTTACTGATTTACGTGTTTTTATTGTTGTTTATTCTTGGCGTATTGCGGTGTTTCATATTTGCTACATTTGTATTTATTTGTTTGCTTGTAATATCTCTTTTGCTATTTACACCAGGAATCCTTTCCAGAAGGACAGAACTTGTGTTGCACAGCAAAGTCCTCATTTTGGCCCTTTATCATGTGGAAAAAAGATTGCCCAGATGTCATTTTCCATGGCTTTTACATTGCCAATGTTGTTGCGAATAGTAAGACCATAATAGTTTTGAATGAAATCTATAACTGCATCAGTGAGTCTACCATGTCGTCCA